CCATATGAAACATACGAATCTATTGTAATCACTATGAATTTTTTGATTATTTGAATAACATTTGTTCTGTTTTCTAATTATAAAACAACATACAGCCAGTGCATTAATATTAGAAAAAGGAAAAGCGCCAAGAAGGAAATGAAAATTCTATCACCCACAAATAACCACAGTTATTAAAATTTTAGTAGATATATTCCTATGGTTTCTATATGGTTATTTATATATTTGTTTGCCATTGTGATCATAGTAGATCACATGGTATATATAATTTTGCAACCTGTGTTATTCGCCTAACAAACTGTTGTGACTTTTTGCCCACATAATTTAATATTCTTTAACAAAACATTATTTTCAATGGCATCATCATCTTCTATCAAATGGATGGATTATTACTTACTCATCCAGTTTTCTATTGTTTGCCATTTAGGTTGTTTTTAATTTTTTGCTATCATAAAGCATGCTCCAATGAACATATCTATATATAAATCTTTATTTAATTTTCTGATTATTTCCCCCAGATAAATTCCTAGAAGAATTGCTAGGTCAAATTATGTAAATGTTCTTGAGAATTTTGATAGCTATCGCCAGCTTGTTTTCTAGGACCATTTCAGGAGTCGATGGTCCCACAAGTGGTGAATGAGAGTTCCCACTTACCTGCTGTTTATATATGAGTTATCAGCAATGCTAATTGCCATCACTTAGAAACATGTATTTGCAGGTTGACAGGAGAGAATGTTATATCCGTGCTTTAATTTATATGTCTTTAATTATTTGTAAAAGTGATTTTGACTTGTTTTGCTTTGTTTTACCATTTATTAGTAATCTGTGAATTCCTGACAAATTCTTTGCTATTTTTCTGCTGGAAGTATTTTTCACACTGATATGAATCTTCTTTTTTTAAAGTAACAAGCCTACTATGTGTAACTTTGTCAGATTTATTGTAACAATTATCCAATTTGCCATTGTGTCTAGGAGAATTTTTAAGGTACAGAAATTGATATATTTTAAAAGTTTGTTCTTTGCTTTTCATGTTCCAATAGTATTTTACTATCATCCTTATGTCATATAAAGATTCATCTTAAGATTTTTATAATTGTGTCTTTCCCTTTTACTTTTTAAACTGTGTGAAACTTCCTTCTGGTGTAAAATTTGAGTGAAGCTATTTTGTCTGTTTTATTTATTGGCTTAAAATTGTTATCTCAGCCCTACTTGCTGAATAATCTTTTTTGTTCTCCCCATTGAGTTGGAATACAAACTTTATAATATGCTAAATTCTTATTAGCTTCTGCTTTTAAGCTATCTAATACTTTTAGAATTACTATAGCTTTTTAATATCTTTTAATATCTGATAGAAGTTGCCTATTGTTGTACTTTGTTTTCAGATTTTACTTGATTATCCTTGCCTGTTGATTTTTATAGATGAAGTTTGGAATTACATTTCAACACCCTAAAATCATCCTACAGGAGTTCTGACTGTAGTTATGTTAGGCTATTAATTACTTTCATAAGAATTGACACCTTTTACAATATTCAATCTTTGCAGCCAGATTGAATTCTCTGGCATTATTTTATATACATATACATCTTTTTTTGGTCCTTCAGTAAAGTTTTATAATTTTTTATAAGGAAGGGCCTCACATTTTAAAATAATTGACATTCTGAGTTGGTTTGATGTTGGAATGAATTTACCCCCACTGTATTTTTTTAAATACTTTATTTTTGGTGAACAACATAAAACTACTGATGTTTTATAACTTATTTTGTGCTTGGCCACTTTATTAAGCATTCTTTTTGTTATTAATTTCTCATTCAATTTACATAAATTTTCTAAGAATGAAATCATATAAAGTTCACATGGTGATGATTTTGCCTACTCCTTTAGAAAAACTGTTTCTCTTATTCTGATTTTTTGTTTTATTGCATTGATTATAATCATAAAAGTAAATATTCCTAACGATGGAAAAAAAGAAGAAACAGCATCTTTTTCCCCCATGAATAGCTAGAAAGTTTGAATGCTTTGGTTTTTCTTTTCCTTGCCCATGTCCCTTTTTGGTGATGTTTTACATTTTTACTTTATTTTTTCTCTATGGAGACTTACCTTAAAATTTTAAATTCATTTATTTTCTGACCATTTTTATAACAGCTGTATCATGTTCTAGTGGTCTTACTGCTTAATATTAGTCACTTTATATTATGACTTTTCCATGGTGATGGAATTTCATTCATTTTTTTAATAATCCGAAATGTATCTGAGTAATATGTTTTCTGAGTTTTTGTACACATAAGGATATCTTTTGTTTCCTGTAACCTAAGTAATAATTTAGCTGGATACTGAGTTCTTATACTGAAACCCTTTCCCCTAAAAACTTCAGAGATTTTCTTTCATTTTTTTTGGTATTCATTGTTGCAGAAAACAGGTCTAAACATAACTGAATTTTTCCCCCATGTCTGAAAGTCATACTTCTTGCCCAGTTATATTTAAATACTAGTCATTTTTTTTCATTAACTTTGCCTTATCCTAGGTTAGCCTGTTTGATCTGAAGACATGGGTCTTTGAAACAGGAACGTTTTCTTCTGTTTTTTGAATAATTGCTTAAGTTTAATTTATTCTGAATTCTTCTCCAGTAACACCAATAATGTATAGGTTTAATATCTGATGTCTTGACATTCCAAATGTTACATTTTTCTCATAAATTTTGTCTTATCCTTTCTCTGTATCCTACAAGATTTTCTCAACTTAGCCCTCCTTAATACTGATTTGATTTTCTACAAAATTGAGTCTGCTTTTTCCTGCTTTTAAGACGGAGTTTAATTCTGCTATTGAGTCTTTTATTTCCTTACCTCTCATTCGGCTGTCTATTCATCCCAATTTACACCTCTGTTTCTTCTCTTACCAGCTGTGTGACCTTGGTTATGATATTAATCTCTTTGTTCTCCATTTTTCTCATCAACAAAAGGAGGATAATAATTGTTTCCACAGAAAAAAATTAGATTGTCCTTAGAAACTTTTAGAAAAGTTTCTAGCCCACAGGAATGTGCTAGTAAATTTGAACTGCTATTGTTGTTACCATCGTCATTATCACCATCATTATCTCTGCCTGCATCTCAGCAATGCTCCTTTCCCTTGAGCTGTTGTCTTCTCATTTCTGTGTGTGTGTGGGAGTGTGTGTGTGTGTTTATGGAAGTCGTATTTTACCAAATTTGGGGGGAGCACAATATAGGTACTCTCTAAAATGTATTTGTGCTGTAAATCTTTTTTTTAAATCTTCACCTTGTGTACAGATACCATTTTTATGTTGTAGAATATTTTCATAAGCCTCATATAGTTGCTGATATTCATTTTTCTATTTATATCTCCTCGTTCAAGGAGAGATATCTTGACAGAAGACATTAGTTCTCCTTTGTTCTCCTAAATTTTGACTTGGGAGCTGTTAGGATCCACCCCTAGATCCTGAATCAGAATCAAATTGCTGCTGACTGGCTGTTATTTAGCAAGAGGTGTAGGACTGCATTTAAGTCCATTCTCCCACTGCTCTTCTCTAACTATCCCACTCTACAGATTGGAATGTGTTCTGGGATAATTTCCATTACTATTCAATTCAGTGCATTCATCTCTTGCTCACAATAGTGGGTGAAAACTTCACTCTCTGAATTGCATTATCTCACCACTTCCTTCATGTCTTCCTTCATATTACTGATTCATTTTCCAAATGCAAGATGCCTTTACTTGCCCAGCTCTGCCCACTGCCACCCTGCATTGTTGTGAGTTGTAGCCCCTAATTCGATATATAAAAAGAAGTACTGCAGTCACTGCAGTAGCCATGAGAGAGATTCTTGGGGTGATGGGAATGTTCTAAAATTGTATTGTGGGACGGTTGCACAACTTTATCAGTTTACTACAAATCATTGATTGTTTCGTACTTGAAATTAATGAATTTTATGGCATGTAAATTAAACCTCAATAAAGCTGTTAAAAAATTTTTTTTTAATTATAGAAGGTGAGTTGGAACTCATGTGGACCTGGCTCCTTCATTTTGGGAGAGCAGGTGTTTGACCTGCATGATAGGTAAAAGCCATACAGGCAGGTGTGTGGAAACCTCTTACTTTCCTCCTGCTTGCTTGCATTGTTTTGTCTTAAAGTCTTATTCGGACTAATGGAGCCTCCCTTAGGGGTCTGGTGACAGGTTAGCCAATCTTTTTAGTACTCTTGACACTTCGTATCTGTACATGTGTTTTTATGAATATTTCAAGGAAAATTGAGAGAAATTGAATTAGGCCCCTAAACATAGTTTTTTAATTTACCAATTGAAAAGAAAAAGACTTTTGATAATAGAATCATAGAGTCAAAGAGGTGTTAGACCAAAAATTTGATTTTATAGTTAAAGAGACTCTTTCATAGGGAAGTTGCCTGACTTGTCTGATTCATACAGAGGCCAGAGCCAGGTCAGTGCTTTTGTCCTTCTAGCTTCTTGCTCGTTGGAAAAAAAAAAATTGAGCTATTCTGACAAGTCTAGATTCTTCAAGCCAGGGTCTTTCATATTTAGGCATTTCTTAAACAGCAAGAAGCCTCTACTGCATAGAAAAATAGAGAACTACAAGGACAAATCCACTGACAAGCACTGAAGTTCCTTACCGTTTAACACATTAGGGAACATTTGTAAGCCCTTCTTCTCATCTCCTTCTATACCTCTTCCTTTTTTTTTGTTTAATTTTTATTTGAATTTAGTTGATTTACAAGTTGTGTTACTTTCTGCTATACAGCAAAGTGAATCAGTTATACATATGCATATATCCACTCTTTCTTTAGATCTTTTCCATATAGGTCATTACAGAGTATTGAGTAGAGTTCCCTGTGCTGTACAGTGTACCTCTTTCTAACAATTATAAGTAAAATGAATATTTATATCATGATAATAGTTCTCTTAAAGGAGTTGATTCTTTAATATGTAATTATGGTGTGACATTCCACATCCCAGTATGTGTGTCCCTTTGTGTTTCAGCTGCTGAGTGACTGCTCCTCTCGTCTCAAACTGGCCCACCCAGCCAGAACACTGTACACCCCTGACGGAGAGCCAATTCTCTCGTGGGACGACATAGAGCAAGACATGGTCATCTGTGTGTCCACAGGGCATGGCTTTAGAACCCAAAGAGGTATGGGTGACGTTTTCTTTTCCATCAAGTGTTTGAAGAATTAAAGCATTCACTTGTTTCTTCAAAGAGCTTGTTTACTGAATTTTACATCCCATCATGATGATTTTTAATAATTATCCTCCTCCACGCTTTTCTACTCCATGTTACTAAAGTTAAATTCAAGTATTTATTTGTTGGAACCTCACTCTTGACACTGTTTGCTCTAAAGAATTCAAGTTCTGTTAGTCTTGAATTTTATCCAAGGGGCTTTATTTGTAGAAATTCTAAAGGGCCTCCTTCGAAGGTATTCATTCTTTAGCATGAACCCTGAGGAAAGTGAGGCTTCCTTGACTTCCCACTCTGCAAGTTATTTAAAACTTAATGTTTCATTAATAGCAAATATACAGTTTACAGATTTTTTCTTTAGTAATAAGTAAATATATGCTTGTTTTATTATCTTGTCTATCCTTTGATTATTTTCTTTGATAAATGTTAGAAATGGAAAAGAACATACGTTTGTTATTAAACTAACTCTCGTCCTTTATCCTATTTATCCTGAGGAATTTAAAACCCTTTTCTGGAGTAGGTATACATTAGCAATGACATAATTTTCAGGATATTCTGAAGAACACTGATATCATTTTAAAAGAAATTAAAAGATTCAGAAGTGAATTACCTGGGGTCCTTAAAATAACTAATGCTAGATTATCTCTTTTAAAAGTCACCATAGGCTTATTATTACTATGTTGTATACAAGGTATATAAACCGAAAACTTTTAAAACAGTTGCAATCATATCTTTACACTTAGCCCAGAAGGGATAAAAGTATAGGAACGGAAACTAAAAAGTAGGAAGATAAGGATTTACTGGGATGCCTAGCACTGTTCTGAGGATGCCACACATATTCCCCCAGCACCATATTACATCAAGGAAGAGGTGCCAATCTTTGTATTCTTTGTATTCTGTTGTCCCATCATTCACCAGTACCCCTCACTCCAGCTCTTGGTTATCCTCACTATGTGATTACTTAGAAGAACACACCAATGATGGGGTTCCTGTCATGAATAAGTATTAGTTGACAGCTTTCTGTGTTCCTAAAGTACATAGCCGATAAAAGAAATATAAGCCAGGGTTCCTTCGCTGAAAGAGTTTTCGATCTAATTGAGTATATGAACACACTTGAAGTAACTGAATAGTAAGCAAACAAGTGGTGCAGTAGAAGGTACTTTCCCAATCCCTTCATTATTTATGCTTAATCTTTCATACTCTTGGAATGACTTTCTGTTACCTGGACCCCACCCTCCTGGCCTCACTGTATTCATTAGGCCTTTGTGATAAATAAAGCTAAGTATGCTTCAGGCAACCTAGCCAAAAGGGTATCCAAAACACGAAGAGATATGTAGGCTGCCTTCCCAGAAGCAAGCTTGTTACCAAGAAAAACTGCAAAGAGAAAAGAGAAAACTAGAAACGCAAATATTACTCTCCTTACCATTTTCCTCCTTGTTAGCTCTTTGGACCTCTGACAAGGCTATGTAGACAAACATGCATTTCTGCATCTTCAGTTCTTTAACCACATGAATTACTATGACGTGAAAGAGTTGTTTCTTCTCCTCTGAAAATGGGTCCCCATATTACATTAATGGTGAAAGTGTTGGCGGTTTCCCCAGTTGTCTAAGTTCTTTTCGGTGGGTGATATGTGTTCTAGAAAATCTGATTGATAGCAGAGAGTCTAATTTAGTTGCTCTTTAGAAAGTTCTTTTATTATATGAGCTGTCATTTTATTATTTTTCCTGAAATAATTGAGAAATAATCATTTAGTAGAAATCTAAATACTCAGAATGCTTTAAAACAAGAGAGAAATGCTACTAGCATTTATATATATTATATATACATATATATATAACATATATATACTTGTGAAGGGACATTTAATTAAACGTTCTACTCATAATTTTTCTGTGACCTACTGGCTTAACTATGTAGTAGAAAATAAGGCAGCCTGGGAATTTCAAAACTAAACACCTTATAAAAACTTATTTTATGTGCTATAATGTAAAAACATTTAGCATGTGAAAGTTAGTCATCAAAGAATCACACTGGGTCTTTGAAAAATGGATTTGTTTTGGCAAAACAAATCAGATGCTGTTAGAATAGTTTCTTTCACACAAACCCCCAACAAAATTAAAAGGGTGCTTTATGCTGCTTGTCATCAAATCTAAACACTGTTCTCAATGCTGTGTTTACCATCTTTTCAGTGGGTTCAGTTTTTAGACCACTCCTAGGTTAGCTTCCAATTCAGGCTTTATAAAAAGCTTGAAAGGAAGCCCTCTCTAGCAACTGCCATTCTGTAGAAATCCAAAGGATGTTAACACATATCTGATGTGATAAGCAAGTCAAGTGTGTAATAAGAGAGGCCGACGTGGGAGTCGAGGATTTCTGAAGGATCTTCAAGATTTTCATCATCCTGAACTTTTAATTATTTTTCTATAAATACATTGACTTGTCTCTCAAAATAATTTTTTTTAACAGAGTTAAAGCAACTGGTGGAGGTCAGAGCAAATTATGCCCGAATCCGAAGGCAGCAGGGCCCTCAAGCCACAGACGCTGTGTTGTCACCATCCACAAAGCTTCAATCTCTGGTACCACTACACAGTGAATTCCTGTCAGACCCATCATAGTTTGTGCTGTGTTTCGCTGGGGTAGCCTGTGCGGACATACTCATATGCTTGCCAGGATGTTATATGATGATTAGTCATTGTTTTCATAATTTCATGCAGTCTATTTTAAAAGTTATACTACCCTCTACCTTTTACACAGGGTGGCATTTGATGCCTCAAATCTGTTCTTGGAAAGACAACAAAACTAGACAAAGCAATGCCAGTAAAATAACTATCTTAACGGTATTTTCTTCCAGGAAAAGAAAAAGGAATTTGACAATAAAAAAGACTGTTTGACTACCTAATACTAAATTTGACTCAAACTGACAGTCTTCTGGCTCAGCCACTATATTTTTCAAACTTCCATGTTAAAATCCTACATTTACTAAATGGAATGGCTGGTGGCCACCAAACACCACATGAATTGATCTTTCCTCCTCCCACTTTCCTTCAGTTTGGCTTGTGGTTACAGCACAGGACTCTTGATGGGGCACAGCTAGATGTTGTTCACAAGAGTGAAGCTGGATAATTCCTGACATAAGCTCAGTAACCAAAAGTCATAGACTGCGTCCTCAATACAGAAACTTAGGGAAAGGATATATGCACTACTTGTAAGAAAAGTTATATAAGGATTTTTCTTAAGGGGCCAAGGGAGATCCTTAGCAATCTTAAGTATCAATCTTACAGGGAAAGAAGAACTTACCTTTTAATTTCTTTCTGTGAGAAAGAAAGAATTTTTTTTTTTTTTTTTTTTTTTAACAGTGACAAATCAGAGTTTGGCTTCTGGTTCTGGTGAAAATTTTCCAGAGAAATGCTCTTCTCTCTCTGTCTCTGAGAGCCATTCACACCTCTGTCTGAATATCAATTGCAGCCTGGCTAGGTGTGTACAGAATGGCTCAGCTGGGCTCACTCTTCCATCCACCACTTTAATGTGATATAGGAAGGCAGTAGATCATTTCTACTGAAGGGGGCTCTTGGTAATCGCTGCAAAAGGCCTAGTATTTACTCCCAGTCTGCAAATCAGTAAGGCCGCATGAATAAGTTCCTGCTGCTTCCCACACCACTAAAAGCAGAGACCATTGAGGCAAAATTTCACATTACATGCACAACAATTTGCCCTTTCGCAGACATCTTCTCTATGTGTTGTGCACTGTTAGAGATGTGAAGTCATTCCGCAACACCTTTGTGATACGTATGAGAGAAAAATTGCACGTGTCCCCACCTTGCTTTTCCTTTTGTTTAACGAGAAGGGTTAAGGAACATGCTCTGGTCAGAAAGTGGGCCAGTAAGAGTCTTACCTGTTGGGCCTCTTCTTACAATAATAACTGGATTACAATCCCCAGAGACACGGAACTTGTTATTTCTTTTCAAAATTCCTTGAAAACAAAGGCATTTCTCTAGGTGCAAAAGTACCTATCATTCCGCTGCCAAGGAAAAGTTGATTTGCTATGAAAATGGCATAATTTCACCATAGATCAAATGTGCAGATTCTTGTGAAGTCTTCACTGTTGCGTGTGAACACGCCTGAAGTGAAAACTGGTAGTATCACACAACATTGTATCAAGCACCAGGAGACATAAGGCAAAACTCTTAACTGAACTTTTCTATTACTAGTAAATGGGATTTTAGATGTAATATAACAGTCATCGACACATCACATTTTACCAGCAAGGCAGCAGCACTTACTTTGTCGACAACGGCTTGCTGGGGATATCTTGGCAGTTAATAGCCACTTTTAACTTAAGACTAAGAACAGCCCTGCTCTTTCCTTATTATTGACCTTCCTCTGTGGTTGGCTGGAAGGTGGACTGGGGAACAGTTACTCCACCTTCAGCAAGGACTATAGGATAAGACTGTTGCAATTCTGTTCAGCCCTCCAAGGATTTTAATAAACCCAGTAATTTCCTTTGGGGATATGTTTATCGAATTTGAATCAGCCTCATATATATAAGTCACATTTCAATATTTTTCTATCAACTGGAAATCATTTATTATTAAATACTAAAGCAACCATCCTCAAGTCCATGGCCTTCTCCAGAAATTTATTTCCTGCTGGTTCACAAACACCCTTAAGTTGATCCAGATGTTAATCAACAGTGTACCAGCATTTGTGATTGTCCTCAGGAGAAAGGAGTTTCTGGATGTTTCTGCCCCACCTCTAGCTTTTGTTGCCTGATTAAGTGTTGGGATGAAGTTGCATGTTTCTAAGCAAACTGACAAACTGTCAAACTGTCTGAAAGTTTGACAAGCATTTTGAGATTATGACAGCATTTATACATAAGAAGCATTTTATCTGGGTGCTTATGTCAGGTTTATAAAACAGGACACATTAGAAATGATTCAAAATCCAAATGTAGCTTTGTGGCATGATAACCCTGAATTTCCATTTTGTTCTTGATTGTTCATAATGACTAAATATTTTTTTGTGGATCAAGAAAACAAAGCAACAAACAAGCAAGCAAATAATAACAGAAAGGTAAAGATAAATTTGTTCTCTTTTGCAAGAGAATCACTTAGAAATTGTGGCCACTGGCTGTTGCAGCATTTGTGAGCTAACCTTTATTAGTAGCCCAGGTGTGCTGCTGAGTGTTGTTGAGATTTGTGATTCACCAAGACAGCAGTTCTTTTTCTGACATCATTTGGAAGGGAGCGATCAAAACCCACAGGTCTGTGTTATTCTAGATTGTCGCAAAATGAGATGCAAACGTCCTCAGGTAAATGGAATTTGGACCCAGTGGTGATCCTCAGTTGCTTTTATTAAATCAGTTACCTCCTGCCTCTGAAAAGATCTCAACCCTTCCTAAGGCTAGGTTAAGCAGAAAGAAAGAGCAGCAGTTTTTTGTTCTTAACACAATAAGCTAGAATTCTAAGTAAAAGGCATGGTTTGGGGCTGCTTGGCCATAAGCAAATGCAAAGCAGCATCAACAAAGACCACTCAGGTGAGCGCTGATGAAAGTAAATGGACCAACCCGAGTAATGGCAGACATTCAGTGGGTGCCTGCTGCCAGCTGTAGCACTTCCTAATTCTGCAAGTCTGTAATGTGAAACTACTATCAGTAGGCTGTCACCCTGTGCCATATGTGCAAATAGAAATATATGAGGGGAGAGGAAGTGCTTATGCCCATGGTGCAGCTGGGTTCGGGGAGGGAGGAAGGAGGAGACAGGAAATTATATTTATATGACAAGTACAGTGGTGATTCTGAATTGGATGTGCTGTCATTCATTGTCTGCTGTATTCCTGTGCTGGTTTAGGGGTAGATAGAGCGTTCAGTCAACCGCTGGATCCATTAGGTCCTGACTTATCATTTCTAGAAGTTTTGAACTTGGGGTTTTAACCCCAGGTGCGGTTGCCCAAGAATGTCAGTTCTGGCAGACCGGCTAAGACAGTTGCGGGGTGGTGGTGAATGTCTAGATGCCACCACCAGCAGCTCTCCTTAAATGGCTCTGCAAACTGTGCTGGACAGGAACGGAAGAGGGGAGGGCACCTCCCACAACTGCTAGGGTAGTGCCCCCAAAGCACAAGATTTGATCCTGTCTTCATTTCCACCACCCTTTTTCCTTTTCCTTCTGTTCTACTCTCTCCTTGCCTTTTGGTCGTAGCTCCTCTGTCTTCCTTGCTTTTTGTCTTCGAAGGGCCTTTAAATTCTGTCTTTCATTTTAAAAGCTGTCCTCCCTGGAGCAGTCTGTGGATTGGCAAGGGGTGATTTCTTAATATGATTCTCAAAGTTTCCTGTGCACAGGAGTCACTGGGGAGCTTGATAAAATACCGAGTCCCAGGCTTAATGGCAGACATTCTTCTGTACACCTGAGGTGGGGCAGGGAGTGTGCAGGAACAGGCCCCAGCCACGGAGGGTGGTAGCTGACCGCACGCTGGGAAACTCAGCTGAGGTTCTGTTCCTGTCAGCTGGGTGTGGCTCAAGCGCTAACTACCAGTTCTAAGAGCACTGTGGTCCCTTTTACCTTTGTGTTAAGGGCTACGAAAGCAGCGAAGCACTTGCTGCCTATCTGAGGGTTTGAGTCTAAATGTCCTCATGTTTTCTCCTCACTATTTCCTTGAGAAAGAATGGAAATGTTCTTGAGTAGGGACTGACCACCCAGAGATTGTAACCAGGACACTGGAAGCAAAACAAGGAAGTTTGAGGTGCTGAAGCTTCCCATGTTAATTAAGCTGCCTTCAGTGCTGATAAAATCTTGCTATTTTAAAGGTCACAGGAATAATGTCAGGGCTATGGTACATACATCAAGGAGCAGAGTAATTTTGAGGGTGAGGAAATAGCCAGCTTCCTGGAGTTTTCTTATGCATTTTTGTATGTACAAAGAGAGAGAGAGTTTTGGAACAGGGACAGGGGTCTTTTTTGTAAAGTAACCCTTTCTCCAGTGAAGGAGCTGCTTGCTAGGGGGAAGGCTGAGCCTCTCTGTTCCATGTATGCTCTAAGTCTAGTTAATACAGAAGCCTGAGCCACCCGCATCCCTGGCAGGCTCATCTAAGAGTGTGAAATTCCACAGGATATTATTTCGGTTCACTAACAAGTGCTCTCAGAAAAATTAATTTTCAAGGTAGTTCTCTCGTCCCATAAATGAAATCCATATAGGTTGGGAGACAGCCACGTTCCTTAGAAGACAGAAACTATAAAGAAAATTAGCTTTTCAAAGAACTAATTCATATGTATGCATCTCCAGGCGCTTACTGTTCTGGGTACTGGGCATGCAAAGGTGAATGCAGTAGATGTGTGGCTGCTTGGAGAGTACAGAGGCCGGAATGTTGGGGTAACAGGCATGAAGTAAGGTGGGAGAGGTGGCCACCAGCCAGACTGGAGGGCCTTGTAGGTAATGCCGAGGAGCCTGGGTTTTTCTTTTTTAAGTGTAGTGAGAAGTGGTTAAAGGGAACTAATATGAAAGCTGGACTAGACGTCGTATATTAAGTTTGCTCAAGCTTCAAGTTACAGAGATACACTCGACTTACCTCCGGAGGTGGAGGTTTGTTAGGAGGGTTAACAAAGAAGGGGGAAAGCAAAGGAGAG